TATCCTATAACACAAGCCTTTCAGTGCTTACTTTGGGGCTAGGCTAATTCGTGTGAGTTGGAAATATTTATTTTATTTATTTATTATAAAAAGTATATATAAACGAGCATCTAACCCCCAAGAAGAAAAATTTATTTCGTTAGTGTCGTGAGAAAGCCAGAAGTAACAAGTATAAATACTATGGTCAAACAGATTATTCGCCTATTATTGCAGTGCATAACGAAAAGGATCTCGAATAAATTAAGTTAAGCATCTCATAAATATAGTTTTCTCAGTGTTTACATTATGTATACCTCAAGTTTTTTAATTTATTTTATTTTACCACACATCTCTTCTTGAGAAAATTTGTTTGGCAAATTTAAATACCAGAGTTGCTACAGCTCGAGAAATAAAAATGTGTTAGACACCAAAAATTGCTTGGTTGGGGATAGTGCCCCATAGTCCTCCAGAATTATAATAATAATGGCGTCGATTCTAGCATGATTCTCTAAACCTAAACTTAATTTTGACAACAGTTTTGTCCTTGTCATTCTCCGTACAGAATTAAAAGGAGAGACTGATGTTAAATTGAATTTTAAGATAAGTGAAGCATGCCAGAATCAACGCCAATAAATATTACATAGATTATATCAATCTTATTTGGATACCAAGGAGCTCGGTCAGTGGGCGAAAGGAAACCATAGAATACACAAACTGCAAAGCTCACAAACAGGGCATGACGACTTCGAACGACCGTATGTAATTCAAGTGGTTAGTGCGTCCAATCTGCGATTGCGTAAGTTAAGCAACTCCCGCAATGGCTGGTCATAGAATTGGTGGCCAACAATTGAGCTTCTTCGTGCTGGGAAGGCCGTTGGTCCCGGCTGTAATTGTTGTCATTAGCACCTACCAATCCTCTTTGGGCAGACGGCAAATTTCTTATCATTATCAAACGTGTTAAACAATCATTTAGCTAAGGTAACAAGTTAAGATAACATTCAACTGGAGAAATTTCTCAGTATTTGTAATCTGATATGCTCATGACAATACGTCGTATATTTATAAATATTCATGATTCGAATACCTTACAAGTGCTACTTTCCTATTGTTGTTCGGCCTTAACCTTACGCAAGTGTGTCAGTTTCACAGAAAGTCGCGCAGCAGAACCGGTTACGCAACGCTTCACAATAAATGGCAGTGCAAACTTAAGTAATTAATTACCAACAGTTTATAATATGTGCACGCTACATTTGTGTCTTATTAAATTTTACTGTTGATGATTTTCACTTGATATTGAATAGGGGTGATGACGGGGTACAGTAAACGAAATCCTATTTAGTCCGTCAGTTAGATGATCAAAAAATAATGGACACGTATTTTTTCTTTGGGCAATCAACCAAAAAATGACAAAGTTATAGCGCGTCAAAGTTTGGGAGTAGGGGCTCGTAACGTCACTTTTGAGTGAATTTTCACTTATAAGTGTACTCAAACGTGACGTCATGCGACTTTTCAAATCAACATATTTCTGCAATGTTTATATTATGTGAAAAAAGAAAAAATACGTGTCCAATACTTTTTGATAATCTACCTGAGGGCCAATCGCCTAAGGGAAATGCTTTAGGAAACGCTAACGTTTACGATTTTATATTGTTATTTCTAGCCGCCTGAGGTTTTCGAATACCTCACGCTCATTTTTTTTAATATTGTTAAATTACCAATGCAAAAGAAAAAGAAAGAGCGCGAGGCTTTTGAATACCTCAGGCGGCTAGAAATAACAAAATAAAATCGTAAGCGTTAGCGTTTTCCAAAGCATTTCCGTAAGGCGATTGGCCCCCTGATAAACGAAGAAAAAAAAATTAGTCATCATCCCTATTATATCTAGGAACCCAAACACTTATTTTATCATCACAATAACATCACGCCTGTTACTTGTCTGTTTTGTGCCGTTTCCTAATCATTGATTTTTTAGGTAAGCTTTAGCACAGAAAGATTATAATATCTTTTGTCAATCATTTATTATACCTGCGACAAGTAGTGTGAATAGCTAATTAAGTATTCATCAGTGTCAATTGCCGCACAAACGAACAGCGTAATCTTGGCTTAGCCGTTTTATGTTTTTGAATGTCAAGCAGTAGTCCGGTCAATCTAGACATTCAAAGGCACATAAATTTACATCAAGCTGGAAGTGATTAAAATTCGTTCAAAACATAATTAAAAATAACATATCAAAATTCTCCATCGTTCCGGTCAAAAAAATTACTCGAGGTCAAAGGTCAAAAAATGAGGTGTTCGCTATTTTCATCAAAACGGTAAGTTTATCTATAAAAAGGGTGTTGATATATTTTTTTCTTAAAAGCCGCCGTTCCTAAGTCAAAGTGTAAGCGTCATAATATGCACACGTTTCCACGCCACCTCTGAGGTGGTGTTATCAGCATTTTTTATAGATAATTTTATAATCTACAATTTTTGACTGAGGTAATTTTACGATAAAACTTACCGTTTTGATGAAAATCACGAAAAAAACACTTTTTAGACCTTCGACATCGAGTAATTTTTTTTCCAAGTACCGGAACGATGGGGAATTGTGAAATGTATTTTTTGAACAAAATTTAATCACTTCCACTTGATGTAAATGTATGTACCTTAACTCTTAAGTTTCTGCCTAATTTGATCGGATTACAGACAGGAAAATTTAAAATACCATCAATAGCTTCCAAATTTTTATATATATAATTCTTCTGTGAGTGTGTATGTCACTGAACTTCTCTTAAACGATTGGACCGATTTTGATGAAATTTTTTGTGTGTGTTCAAGGGGATCTGAGAATGGTTTAGATTCACAATTTTGTCCGCTGGACAACCCCTATTTTTTTAGGGCGGTACGAAGTTCGCTGGGTCAGCTAGTTTTTACATAAAAGATAATCTGAATCATATTCAAAATGAGAGAATCTCAACAATTCGCATTCTCTTAATAATTCAATAAAAAAGTAGGTTTCAATGTAAACATTTAGTCAAAAGGTTTACTTCGGAATATATTCAGAAAAGATTTGCGAGCAAAACAGAATGGATCGCAATTGTTTAATTACATTGTCATTTAATGCCAGCATTAGTTATTTATTTTTATATATCACTGATTATCATCACTATTTAGCAAACAATCAGAAGTTTCCTAATGCATCCGCATTTACAAGTATCTAATTATTATAATACTTAACTGTCTACATAAATTATCATTAATTTTTCCCTAAAAATAATTAAGAAGCAGATGGGTCGTTCTACTTTTCTATCGACAATGGTCTGTCCTTCGTCTTATTATGGCATCTCGTTAAAGTACTGATATTTACGATTTTTTAATTTGGTTCGAATAAACGTCCACATTTCTCTTATCTATTAATATTATGTAATTTTTCATTTTCTCTAACCAGTATATTTTATACGTTTGTTTTTCGTAAAATGCCGTGACAGAGTGGTAAACCGAAATGTGGTCTCCACAGAAAAAGGCCACTTTGTCACATTATTATTTTAAAAACTAAAAGTACAAAGAATCAATATTAGCCGGAAAGGAAACTTTAATTAGTCCTAATGAAAACACAGATGCATTTTTTTTAAATCCCACACAGAAACCACAATTATGGATAGTTCAAAAATCAAAAAAAAACAGAAAAACGTCATTTCACTGTTGGTAGAAAAGAAGATCGACCCAAATAAGTATTTTTCATAATTTTACATGATATTATTTTTTCGAGCTCGACGGCGCAGTTGCTTAGCGCGTTCGGCTTGCGATCGTCGAAGTTGAAAAACATTCGCAATGGGATTGCATTACATGGGTAACTAAAATTTAGTATCTCAAGCTTCCCCGTGCTTCGTAAGGCTCGTCTAGCTATTAATCCCGGCTGCGTCTGCAGTCGTTAGCACCCACCAATCCGCATTGAGCCTGCGTGGTGCGTCATGGCCCAATCTACTTATTCCATCTATAGTGAAGGCCAGTTATGGGGACATTAATTAAAGGTATACTTACTTCTAATTTGGTGTTTGGTCAAAACATACTGGCTTTATACACAAAAAATACTTATAATGTATATTTTGAAAATATATTATATAGGTAATAACTGCTAAATAATTGTTATCCCGAGATCAAACGTGATTCGGAAGGCATATTAAGCCGTATGGTCCTATCTGCGTTTATATCACTCAGTTGTTAGGGCCCACCAATCGCTAATGGGCGCGTGGTAGCTTATATCAGAAGACATGTGTTAAGTGATAAGCTAGTGATGATGATAATAGTTTTGTCGAATATTATCGGTTTATTAAGGATATTTTCCCGCAGCAAAACGTAGCATTTGTGTTAATCCAGGGTGTCAGCTAACTCCATGCCAAATTTTATTAAAATCGCTCCAGCCGTTTAGACGTGAAATAGTCACAAACATACACACTCACAAACTTTCGCCTTTATATTATTAGTGTGATAAATAATTAATACTATTCCAATCTTTCCTATGGAAACAACATCGTATGGTAATGTAAATCAAAACCTGCATTAAGTCATTTTCCCAGTCTTGAACTTAAACAGCAATATATAGTATAAACACTAGATAAAGGTCACTGTTTAATATAGAAAATCAAAATCTCATCATTCTGTCTCTAAAAAAGCATAAATTATAATACGAAAACTTATTGCATAACAGATTCATTTCATACTAACTAAGTATAAGTCAGATCCTTTCACAAAGGGTTTCTAACAATAAATACAATAGAAATCCAGCAAATAGTTAAGTAGAGAAAAAAACACTGATTAAATTATATATTATTGAATAGGATGAATTTTTTACTTCAATATAATGTTATTATAGCCACCATAACTCAATATAGTCAGTGTAACGGTTTGCTATGTGATACGATGTAAACCACTGACAATTGAACAAATACAGAAAAGTAGGTTTCCGTAATCACGCAAGTTTGAAACCCTAAAAAGGCACTTTCAGAATGCAAACAGTTCACGTTCAAGAAAACCAATATACTTACACTCATATGTTCTTTCATCTCGAACAGCGAGTCTTTGAAATAAATCGCGCACCCATCGTGCCTGTGCCCAGTTTTCTGTTTGAATATACCAGAATATCCTAATGATTCAAATTTTGAGTAGAAGCTGTTCAAATGAGTAGCTTGGACTTCTTGAAGGCATAGAATCTGCAACAACAGTCGCATAAAGTATAAATAATAATAATAAATATTTCCAACACTCACACCAATTAGCCTATCCCCAAAGTAAGCACTGTAAGGCTTGTGTTATGGGATGCTAGGGTAACGGATAGAATACATATACTGTGTACTTAAATAAGTATACTTAAATAAGTATATTTATATAGAAATACATCACACAAACATCTGCACCCACCGGGATTCGAACCCGGGACCTCTCGAGTCGGCGACACCATGAAATCCGGCGTACAAACCACTCGGCCACGGAGTTCGTCAAATATGTATATACTATAGAATGACCCTTATCAATATTTTGTCATGTAATATTAGTTTCATATAAAATGAACAATAAATAGGTATGATTTTTATTGTGAGGTAATTGCTGATTGATCAACCAGATAATCGAAATTTCTTTTTATCTATATTAGTAATGCTGATAAAGGTGGCGCAATAGCCGTTGGTAATAAAACTGATAAAAATGTCTATGACACCATCTTTATTTATGCACTTAAAGGAATCTTTCGAAATTGAAGCTACAAAGTGGTAAGTAATTAATATTACACAGTGCAATAACATTTTTATTTATTTCTCCTTATATGGAACTACTAGTGGCCCGCCCTCGCTTCGCTTCGGTGGAAAGCTGTAGTGTAGACTATAGTTTTTGTTCTCAGGCTTGTATTATACACAATGACATTCTTCTAATACCCAATTACAATAGGCACGCGCCACCAAGCCCGGTAGCGTCGGAACCGCTATGTCCCTGAATTTTAAATTTGTAATATCTTCGAAAATATTCATTTAAATTATATGTGTTAAAGGGCCAAATTGTTCTATATTAAATGCACAATGTATTTAAGGTACTTAATTGGATAAGGATGAATGTTATATTGCTTAAAATCGCTTCGTAAATAATCTATTATTTCTCGTAAAAAGTATAGGATAAAAATTGGTTATTGTGGGTTATCCTTAAGAGATAGACATATACCATCGCGGACTTTTTTGTAGACCTTTTTAAGGTGTACAATACTGTAGTACATTCTTTGATCTATCTCGTGGGGTTCAGCCAGCGTTTGCAATGTAAGCGCAAAAAATGTGTTTATTTACGACCTTACATTAAAAACCTCTAACATTATCAGTGTTTCTCTACTATATTATGCATGTATTATACATATAAACCTTCCTCTTGAATCACTCTATCTTTTGAAAAACCGCATCAAAATCCGTTGCGTAGTTTCAAAGATTTAAGCATACAAAGGGACATAGGGATAGAGAAAGCGACTTTGTTTTATTGTATGTAGTGATGAGGAGCTGGAAGGCGCGGGTGGTTAGCGCGTTCGGCTGTGATCGTTGTAGTTAAACAACTTTTGCAGTGGTCGGTCACTTAATGGGTGACAAAAATTCTTCTATCTCGAGTTTCTCCGTGCTTCGGAAGGCACATTAAGCCGTTGGTCCCGACCGCATCTGCAGTCGCTAGCACCCGCCAATCCGCACTGGGCCCGCGTGGAGGGTCATGGTCCAATCTCCCTATTCCATCCATAGGGAAGGCCTGTGCCTTAGCAGGGGGTACATTAATAGGCTGATGATGATGATAATATGTAACCAGTGACTGCAACAATTTTAGCAGCATAAAATCTAATATATTAAATCATAATTTTGCCCCTTAAGAATCTTTATGCTTTAAAAAAAGTGTTTTAGCTATGAAAGTATAACAGACAGTTGTAACTTGTACGTCATTTATGATATAAGATATTATGTAGGTATAGAATTATGAATGAATTTAATAAGCTACATCATAATTTAAATACATTGTTTTATGCTATACAGATGGTAGTTTAAAACAAATGAAACTAACTGGTTCTTGTGGAACACAAGAACATTGTTATTCAATTGAGGCTTAACCAACATTATGATAGTTTTGCCATTTAGTTTTTTGACGTATTCGTAGTAGATACATTGGCAATTGTTACAATGAATTCAATTTTGCTTGAAAATCAGATTAAAATAATTAAAATCCACTATAAAATAGTGGTTCTGTTACAGTTACATTTTGTCAAATTCGTGATATTTTCGGGCAACATAATCGTCCTTCTGAGACCGCTATTAAAAATTTGGTCGTTAAATTTGAGTCGATACAAAATGTGGTAACTCCAACGCGTGTTCGACCGGGTCGTTCAACTGAAAGCATCGCAGCCGTGAGCCACAGTGTTGAGGCAGATCCAAATTTATCAATTCCGCGACGTTCTCAACAGTTGGGGTTATCCAGAACCACCACATGGCGAATTTTGGCCTATTATTGATGACGTGGTTATCACTGATATGTGGTTTCAACAAGACGGCGCCACATGTCACACAGCCAATGAAACGATCAATTTATTTCAAACCAAATTTCTCGATCTCATAATTTCACTAAACTCAGCTGTTAAGTGGCCAGCCAGATCGTGTGATTTCACACCACTAGATTATTTTTTGTGGGGTTATTTAACATAACCCCAGAAACCTACGGGGATGACAGAGTCTATACGGGGCCAATCGAATCGATTGCAGCCTTAAAACTTAAAATCCGTGATGTGAATAACGAAATAGTAAACAGTGATTAAAACTTTGATGAAAGAATCGACATCTGTCAGTGTGCTCGTGGTGGACATTTGCCAGATATCATTTTTCATTCATAATTGCCGAACTTTTCTCTTTGTAATTCAATAAAAAAATTAATCATCTTCATCTAAATTTTTTGATTTATTTTGTTTTAGAAAACAAAGTTCTTGTTAAAAAATCCTATACATCAAAATCATGATGAAATCATTTGTACTGAAATTATTTTACAACAAACATTTATTTCATGATGTTTTTTCATAAGCATACTTGGGTTACATGTGTGACAATTGTGTCGCAGTAAAACCATAGTGTAAATTGAATTGAACATGATTAAAGATGGGATTTGTTTTGATACAATCATTTATCATCATAATTATAAATAAATTCCTGCTATACAAGCTAAATGTTGATGAAAAGGTGTTATATTAAAAGTAATTATGTCATAAACATAAGTACTTCATTTTGAAATAAACCAAAGGCTCAATTTTTCCAATAAAATAATAGAAGTTTAACTTTACACTTTATGAAATTTTAAGAAACTAAGAATCATATAAGAAGTTTTGTTATTTATATACAGAAAAGATTCATTAATCAATATAGAAACAGCTGTTAACACTAGGGACACGATATCGAATAGAAAGTATCGATACTGTACTCATGAGTAGTATCGGTAAAAAAGTATCGTACTCGTAAAAGTATCGAAACAAAAGTATCGATACTTCAAAGTATCGAGTACATTTCATAGGGCCTTATCGGATCCTCTGTGGCCCGATGAGCAACCCCCCCCCCCCCCCCCCGGGTTAAAAATTGAAAGAAAAACAATCCAATTTTATTATAGTACGTATAATAACAGTAAAAGGACATATAAATTCACAAATTGCTATATTATATAATGAAAAGAAAATAGCTGTGATTTCTGACACTTAAAAAGTGTTTATTAATATCACATTAATAATTAAAATGTTACTTGAATCTGACACGCAGTTAACGGCGGCCATTGGCATGCTTCACTCAATATTATAATAGGGAAGATGCATATATAATATTTATGAAAATTTTATGATTAAAATGTTAAAAAAATATAAAAGAAATGCCATTGCAACGTTTTTATTTTACATAATGTTGTTTTTTAACAATTATTACGAATTAAAAATACTTGAAACGGAACGTATTTTAAAACACCAATCAGCGTTTAGTGACGTCAGTCCTGTTATGACAACTTCTTTGAGGTTATGGTTGTTAAAGTAAATATTATTTTATGGGAATATTTATTGCGTTTTTTTACATTTAATAAAAATGGAAGTTACGTTTATCAAAGCAGACTCCAGGAATTTACCAAGAGTTAGCGTTGACATGGTTATAACTTTTTTTGTCCAAAGTGCAGAGTTTTTAAGTGTAGAAATGAAAGGGACTAAATTACTACGGTATGTAAAAATCGTAGTTGTTAAACTTCGTCTTTTATTCAGCGGCTTCTACAAATCTTACGGTGATAATGCAATCGGCTATGTCCAAATTAAAAGAGATGGAAAATTATGTACAGTAAAGAGTCGAGTTCTCCGGAGCATAAAGTACGTAAAGAAGGTTATCGTGTTACAGTTATTTTAAATGAAACGCAAAGCTTGGTTCAGTCCTGCCAATGTGAAGATTGTGCCACACATTTTAAACTTTATCTAATTTTCGACGTCATTCTCCAACTGTAAAATTAAAAATATGTTACAGACAGGTTTTGTAAGTATTAGGTAGGTTACTAATGCGTTTTTACGTACAAGCAGATTAATTAAGCATATAACAAGTATATTCGCCGACTTACGTCAAAGTGATCTTCACAGCATCGAATAATGGTCTTTGAAGAATAATTGTCATTTCTCTTCGCAGCTTGAAACCACTTTTTTTCAGTTTTGGGTCAGAAGTTCCAGTCAAAAACAATTTATTTGGGAACTTTGTTGAAGTAGATTGGCACAAAAAATGAGTCAACACGGCTTTTTTTCGGAATATTAGTGGTATTGTTATGATCACATGATGTTGATGGATAGTCCATTTTAAATTTTTCAAAAAAATATTTCGAAAGTCGAAAAAATATGCAAAAGTATGAAAATTTAAAGCCAGCAACGAACAATTACGACCAGTGACAGACAGAAGTGACGTCATCGCAACCAGAGGTTCGTTTTCGCGCGAAAATTTAAATTGTCAATTTAAAACCGCATTTTTTCCGATAAATCACAATGTTTTAATTTTTTAATATATCTGTGGTTTATTCTACATGGAATTCTTTAAAATGAAAACAAAAATAAAAATATTGCATCTTCCCTATTATAGAAGAGGTTACGTCCGTCTTTTTTTCAGGTCCGTGGTTTCAAATAGGTATACACAGCACAGACAGAATAATAGTGTTACACTTGAATACATCAAATGCAGTCAAGCGAAAAGCACAATAAACGGCGAATCATCAATCACAATTTCTAACAATATGGTCGCTAAATAAATAACTATGAAACAAAACAAAGCGCAAAATAAACACAGTCACAGATTGGAAAGAATTTGAATATATCATAACAATATGAGGCGCTTGTCCAAATTTTAAAAGTATCGATACTTACTTGCCAAAAAGTACTCAATAAGTAAAAGTATCGAATACAAAGTATCGAGTACAAAAGTATCGGTATCGAAAGGAAAAGTACTCGATACCACAAAGTATCGATACTTTTTTCGTGTCCCTAGTTAACACTTTTTGTTTACTTAAATTTACTTAAAGGTAATGTGAAATTATACAGAAATAATAAAAAAAAAATCTATACACCATAATGCAATATATAAATTCAAATAGATGATTACATAAAAATGATGGTGGAGCGGACAATATTTTTAAATAGTAATATCACAGTATGAATACTTACATCCGGAGACAGATTGGTAATTTCATCAAAGAGACGAGCAGCTCTAACTTTCCATTTAAGATTTCTAGGGGAACATTCCCTATATAAGTATGGGTGACACTCAAGCAAATATTGAGCTAATACATTATATGATAACACTTTGAACCTAAATCCATTAGCAGCTGTAATAAAAAAATAAAATATATTTATAGGTACATACAATTTTTTTGTGGTACCTGACCTAAATATTACTTAATTTCAATAAATTATATATAACAGAAAAGATACCATCACATCCAGTTCCCTTTTTTCCAGCTGATTCCCAGACCCGGAAATCAGGAGGCACGGTCCTTGTTTCATTTCCTGAGGTGTCTAGCTCGGACTGACTTTTAGACTCGTCAAACTGAGATTGCCATTTATTGAAATTATCACTGTTTGTTGAACTATGAAATAAAGGGACAGTTATAAAATTTGATAAGAAATTATTATCAGCAAATTATAAGAGAAGTACAGTAACAAACAAATATCTGTGCAAGCAGCATAGTTATCTAAAGCAGGCATGAAAACATTAAGTAAATATTAGTGTCTTACACATCAAATTGATCTCCTCCATAAGTCTCATGGTTTAAAGTGGGCTTCAGTGATTCACTCATTTGATTGCTTTTGTTTGCTTCATTGGAATTTAAAAATGCTTGTTTTAGCTTATGTTTTTTTTTCCCACTTGCATACAACCTCTTTTGTTGAGCACCAAGTAAGAATGACACAACTTTTGGTATGCGCTGATTGAACTCCGAGCAGCATGGCTCTCCTATGCAAGTTAAATATGTGAGCTGCCTCGCATGTGGAATATAACTCACACTCTCACATGCGACCTTCAAATATCTGCAAAAACTGTTGGGCAATTTCAGCATAGCTTTATTAATTTGAACAAGGAAGAGTGTAACTAAGTCATGACTAGACTAACTACCACAGCCGTTTGAAACATGCATTATTGTACATTTGTTGTCTTTTTGTTTTGCGTTTGACATGGAATTTGCTCTGTGTTTCAATTTGGTAACCTGCAAAGAAAAACAAAGGAGACTAGTAACACATTAAAATAGTAATTTGAACACAAGCAGCATAACAAACACAAACAATAATATATTGAATTTTAAAATTCACACTAAAACAGACTTATCATAATAGTATTTACAATTTAAACCTAAAATATAAAAAAAAAACTATGAGCATTGAAATATGTAAACATTGAGATTTAAGCAATTAATTTGGCATGAAAGCGAAAACAGAATTCGATAATTTCATGGCCATCATCAAAGTAAACAACTAGAAACCACATGCCAACCATTGCGGATATATCCTATAGTCTTGCAAATCCTATATCATGCCTAATTACAAAACTTCTGTTACAAAACTGGATACAATTTGTTAAATAGATCAAAATCTTTACCTATTATATAACTTTATTTTGTCAACCGTCACTCGAAAACATTGAAAAGAAACTACTACTAAATAACAAATGATATGACAAGACGTTGCAGCTACCTATCAACACAATAATGAAATTAACCAATAAATTATATGTTTTAAAACAACTTACATGCAATTAGTTAAAGCCATATTTTTATAACTTGAAAACGCTAAGAGCAAAAACCATGACGAGCAACTAAATTCTATTGTAAAAATACATTTTTATTGACCCACCGACCTCTCGTATCAGTTACGTTTACGTTTCGTATCTTTGTTGTGTCTAGGGACACGAAAAAAGTATCGATACTTTGTGGTATCGAGTACTTTTCCTTTCGATACCGATACTTTTGTACTCGATACTTTGTATTCGATACTTTTACTTATTGAGTACTTTTTGGCAAGTAAGTATCGATACTTTTAAAATTTGGACAAGCGCCTCATATTGTTATGATATATTCAAATTCTTTCCAATCTGTGACTGTGTTTATTTTGCGCTTTGTTTTGTTTCATAGTTATTTATTTAGCGACCATATTGTTAGAAATTGTGATTGATGATTCGCCGTTTATTGTGCTTTTCGCTTGACTGCATTTGATGTATTCAAGTGTAACACTATTATTCTGTCTGTGCTGTGTATACCTATTTGAAACCACGGACCTGAAAAAAAGACGGACGTAACCTCTTCTATAATAGGGAAGATGCAATATTTTTATTTTTGTTTTCATTTTAAAGAATTCCATGTAGAATAAACCACAGATATATTAAAAAATTAAAACATTGTGATTTATCGGAAAAAATGCGGTTTTAAATTGACAATTTAAATTTTCGCGCGAAAACGAACCTCTGGTTGCGATGACGTCACTTCTGTCTGTCACTGGTCGTAATTGTTCGTTGCTGGCTTTAAATTTTCATACTTTTGCATATTTTTTCGACTTTCGAAATATTTTTTTGAAAAATTTAAAATGGACTATCCATCAACATCATGTGATCATAACAATACCACTAATATTCCGAAAAAAAGCCGTGTTGACTCATTTTTTGTGCCAATCTACTTCAACAAAGTTCCCAAATAAATTGTTTTTGACTGGAACTTCTGACCCAAAACTGAAAAAAAGTGGTTTCAAGCTGCGAAGAGAAATGACAATTATTCTTCAAAGACCATTATTCGATGCTGTGAAGATCACTTTGACGTAAGTCGGCGAATATACTTGTTATATGCTTAATTAATCTGCTTGTACGTAAAAACGCATTAGTAACCTACCTAATACTTACAAAACCTGTCTGTAACATATTTTTAATTTTACAGTTGGAGAATGACGTCGAAAATTAGATAAAGTTTAAAATGTGTGGCACAATCTTCACATTGGCAGGACTGAACCAAGCTTTGCGTTTCATTTAAAATAACTGTAACACGATAACCTTCTTTACGTACTTTATGCTCCGGAGAACTCGACTCTTTACTGTACATAATTTTCCATCTCTTTTAATTTGGACATAGCCGATTGCATTATCACCGTAAGATTTGTAGAAGCCGCTGAATAAAAGACGAAGTTTAACAACTACGATTTTTACATACCGTAGTAATTTAGTCCCTTTCATTTCTACACTTAAAAACTCTGCACTTTGGACAAAAAAAGTTATAACCATGTCAACGCTAACTCTTGGTAAATTCCTGGAGTCTGCTTTGATAAACGTAACTTCCATTTTTATTAAATGTAAAAAAACGCAATAAATATTCCCATAAAATAATATTTACTTTAACAACCATAACCTCAAAGAAGTTGTCATAACAGGACTGACGTCACTAAACGCTGATTGGTGTTTTAAAATACGTTCCGTTTCAAGTATTTTTAATTCGTAATAATTGTTAAAAAACAACATTATGTAAAATAAAAACGTTGCAATGGCATTTCTTTTATATTTTTTTAACATTTTAATCATAAAATTTTCATAAATATTATATATGCATCTTCCCTATTATAATATTGAGTGAAGCATGCCAATGGCCGCCGTTAACTGCGTGTCAGATTCAAGTAACATTTTAATTATTAATGTGATATTAATAAACACTTTTTAAGTGTCAGAAATCACAGCTATTTTCTTTTCATTATATAATATAGCAATTTGTGAATTTATATGTCCTTTTACTGTTATTATACGTACTATAATAAAATTGGATTGTTTTTCTTTCAATTTTTAACCCGGGGGGGGGGGGGGGGTTGCTCATCGGGCCACAGAGGATCCGATAAGGCCCTATGAAATGTACTCGATACTTTGAAGTATCGATACTTTTGTTTCGATACTTTTACGAGTACGATACTTTTTTACCGATACTACTCATGAGTACAGTATCGATACTTTCTATTCGATATCGTGTCCCTAGTTGTGTCAAATTTGACAATATCAATCACATGAGCTGACAGTTTTTTGGAGGGATTTCATCGAGTGTGGTTGGCGTTTTATTTTAATTATTCTTAAATTCGTTCATAGTGGATATTGTGAAATAAAATTGGTGTGATTTTGTGTTACAACTGTCTGCGTAACTGAAGAATTAGTAGAATCGTCAAAATATACGCTATTCCGGTCAAGTGGACGTGAGAATTTTATTGTAGTATTGACTACCTCACAGAAGCTTATCGAAAAAGCCAGCTCGATACATTTCGTGCCAAACACTTCAAGAAACATTAGAATGCGTCACACCGACATTCTAATGTAAAAAGAAAAACAGAATAATTTTACTTAAGACTAGGCTGTATGGGCATTGTTCCCCTTGCCTTCCCTGAAAAGGTAAACATAACCAAAAAAAAAACATGAGCTGACACATCAGTGTTGCCAACTCTACGTCTTTTTACGTAGATCTACGTATTTTAGGCCTTTTCTGGAAAACTACTAACTTCAGTCCCAGAATCTACGTATTTTCTTAATTTTTTTCTCTCTCTAAATTTAAGAGCTATGCTCTTGTCGGTGCAGACTATGTATCCACCTCCATCTCCCTCTATCCTCCGCCAACCCTTTGAGCCCCCTGTACGACTCGACGCCAACCTTTTCCTTGATTTGCTTTATGTAGGCTATCCTCGGTCTTCCCCTTCCTCTCTTTCCTTCCACTTTTCCCTCTATGATGGTTTTTATGAATTCGTCGTGTCGCACAAGGTGGCCAAACATTCTTCCCCTTCTATTCTCTAGTGTGTCGAGCAAAGTTCTCCGTTCATCCACAATGTCCAATACCCTTTCATTTGTTAATTTCTCTGTCCAACTAATTCTTTCCATCCTTCGCCAGCACCACATCTCAAATGCTTCCAATATTGCTCTGTCTCTTTGCGTCATAGTCCACGTCTCACATCCATACAGGGCAATACTCCAACAGTATGTCTTTATAAATTTCTTCCGAATCTCTTTTGAAATTTTTGATGAAAAATTTTTTTCAAATTTGTAAAATAACTTAATTCACTAGAATAAAGAAGAATATTTTCCGTTACTTTACTTAAAAACTATACAAATGTTTATTTCTTTTAAAGATGTATCTAAACACTCTTGTATCTTGTAGAAAAGGTTCCCGTTATTGGTTTTGTTGACTAAATTAATGCTGGACGCAGGATTTGTGAAAGCAGAAACGACAAAACTCTTTGACTTAGTAGGTACATTCATAACCTTAAAAATTATATTTTTAACTTTTAATATTATCAATGAGTACCTACTCACATCGAATTGATCTTTGTAAAAAGAAAAGACTTCCAGTCGATAAAGTTACAGGATTTAGCAAGTTTTAAGCATATGTTCATGTGTAAGTATGTTTTTTCTCTTGGCAATTTAAACCACAACTTTTCTAGAGTCTTTTACTAAGTGTATCATGATAACTACTATATTTTTCATGTGATCTATTAGAAATCATGGTTTTATAATATTAACTTAGAAAGTTTATTTTCTACGTGCTCGCGAGTGTTTGTTTTGACGTCATAGCATAGATAAGTCTATAGACTAAAGAGCGTTTTTGTATGTCTTCTAGGTAAAAAAAAATTTTTTTTTCGTTCTGATAGAACAATTTTTAACAATTTAAAACATAATTCCAAAAAGTTTCAACTAGCCCATTTAACAACAGTTTATCCTAGTCATTCTCTATACAGAATGAAAAGGAGAGACTGATGTTAAATTAAGTTTCAAATTTAGAGAATCATCGAGAATCGGCACCCACCAGTGTCTGTGTCTGATGGTAAATGTTTACCACAGCATGGTAAATGCTTCCAATGCAGCGACTTCTCCAAGAACTCTTTGTTCTATCTCCCGTTCTTAAACAAATTGTATAACAAAATACTCGTTTTATTCGGTTTCAAATAACTTCTTCATTTCACTCAGAAAAAAGTACGTAAATCTACTTACTTTTCATATGCAAAATTTACCAATTCTACGTAATTTTCTCATCGGGCCTACGCCTTTTTCAAAATCCGAGTTGGCAACACTGTGACACATGTCGAAGTTCAGATAATATTGTTTTCGTTCTCTCGTAAACTGAAAACGAATGATGGTAAGTCCATTCAGCCAAATTTTAAAAATATCCTTGTTGATTATTTTACATTAAAAAGTTTCAGTTGGTCTCAAGTTGCTCTTCTATATATAAACCATAGGTAAATTAATGAATTCAATATCTTTCATGAATCACCTCTGCGAAATTTTGTGAATCCACTTTAGCCATCCCCTCTGAGCAATGTGAATCCACTTTAACCATCACCTCGGCGCATTGAGAATGTACTTTATTTATATGTTTCAAAATCACAAGTATTTAGTACGAAGCATGGACGTATAAAAAAAGGCGGACAGAGTCCCGGTAAACAACAAACTGTGTCGCTCAGAGTCGGCCAGGTCGCTATACGTACAAGCCGGCACACACACATTCACACCATAGTCAGCCATTACGCGTGCAAACGTCAAAGCAGCCGGCACGTTACGTGGAGACAAAAATAAGTTATACAAGATGTCTTGCGTGGTAAAATGGTGTAAAATCCGTAGTGACCGAAAGAAAAAAAATCCAGGAATCACGTTTCATAGGCAAATGAATTATTTAATCACTTTTTTCCAGTTTTTAGAAATCGAAATCAATTTTCATTCTAAGGACAAAATGATTAGTCTAAAGCCCAGTGTTGCCAATGTTCATGTAACCATATTACCTAAAATATGGGAAATTGGGTTGACATTAACTTCAATCTATTAATTATTATTCTTTTTTATCAGATTTCCTAAAGGAAATGTAGTATGGATAAATTACTGGAAAATGAATGATTTCCAAATAAATATGTACGAGTGTCATTTTTAGTCTTCATTTTGAAGCTCAAGACTTATATACAACTGAAGGACTCCGGCGTGTTATTACGTATGCATTACCTCAAAAGGTTGATTAAAATTTTTAACCAATTTCGAAAAGAAAGAGGTTCGCAATGCGTCATATTTGTTTTTTTTTTATTGTTGTTCGCGCAGATCTCCGAGATTCGTGGACCGTTTATGATGATTCTTTTTTTGTTTTAATCAGTTTACTAGCGAGATGGCTGCATATTAATTTACTGGAGATCTGAAGAGTACTTTCGGAGGAAAACAATGGAACTCCTCAATTACAAACAGTACTCAATGGGTGTGGGTGTTCGTTTATTTTAAGAAATATGAAAGAGAATGTAGGCCAGGCCATCTATATTTAGTTGATTTACCCAATATTGAGAAAATTCGATACATTCTAGAATTTCTAATGAGTCCCAACTGTTAAAGTAACTTTGTTCCTTATTAAACAGAATTCTAGACTACTGGACTTGTTTTTTTCTTTTTAGTACATTTTTTTTTATTTTCGACATTTTAATTTCATTATTTTTTAATTACACGAGTTGTATATTTTCTAAATATTATTTTAAAACCCTTCAATGATACCTCGCTTGACGGGTTATAAAAATACTTATACTTTTTTTCAAAATGTTTCATTTTGGCGCATAAAATCTGTTATTTTGATTTTTTGAAATTTTTATATACCGACACACAATCACGACAAATCAAATGACACCTCGCATGTCAAAATCTGTCAAGACGTTCAGGCTGTAGGGCGTGCCAAATTATTGGACATACATACATACATGAATACATACGCTCGAAAAACCTTATCCTCCGCAGTCAGGCAAAAAGTAAAATTTTGAACAATCAAAATATTTTCATGTTTTTACTGTGTTTTATTGGTAAAAATTGGCTAACCTAGCAACCCTACAATTCACTCACTCATCAATAGCCGCCGCCATTACGGTGCCTCAGTATTGTCTTAGCCGAAACTCTGTCCGCCTTTTTTTATACGTCCTTGGTACGAAGTATATCTATGAGTATAACATTTCACGACTTGAATAAACTGGACTATGAATTACTATGCAGATAGTATATACTTTGATTCTGCTTATCAATACACTTAGCACGAACCAATATCGAATACATATAGGTGAATTCAATATCGATTCGCGTCAAATACCAAAAAGTTTTGTATAAAAGGACAATGGGCAAAGAACCCCCAGCTCCGCTAACAATGTAATTAGTATAATTCGAAATAAATATATATTTATATATATACAGATATATAAATTAATTAATTTTATATTATGAGTAGCCATAATAATGTGAGTCATATCATACTATAAAACCAGATATGCTGCAAAGCCTGCCGACCGGCTTTGATTTAGCAAGACGCCTCAATACAGTTTACGGGGTAGGGGTACGGAGATTGAA